AACCTGGGGAAAGGGTTTGAGAATCAACTGAAAGACTCCCTGCAAACACACATTTCATTATGAGTCCAGCCTGGCTCTGCCACATAATTACTTTGTGATTCTTGTTAAATACACCTTCTTTCTGGGCTTCAGTTTCTCCACCAGTAAGACGAGGTGGTGGGATAGCTGATGCCTATTCCATCACCTCATCTCCAGTCCTTCCCAAATCCATCTTCCCAAGCCTTTAATTTGCCTGAGATGTCCCACACCCACAGCCTTACCCTTCCTCTGTACCCCACTCGTCTTCCTCACCCACTGCCCTGGGTCCCAAAGATTCCAGGAGGCGAGTATGAAATAAGTGAGCTTCCTTTTATTGGCATTGCATTGGGCCTATGGCAAATCCTGGTACCCCTGCCCACTTGCCTGGCCTGCCTCATTAACTGTGGTGGCATCTGGCCATCCTGCGGACACGCTTCTGCCTTTGTCTGGAGCCCAGTTGTGGCTAATGCTGCCCAAGACAGTGTTGCCCAGGCATCTGCTGCGCAGGCTGCCACCGCCTTTGCTGTCTCTTGACCTTGAGCTTGGACTTAGAGGCCTGCTTCTTGCCAATACAGTAGGAGCCAGAGACCCCCTTGCCGGTCACCTGCTTGAGCATGCCCTTGTCCACCAGTCCCTTGAGCACTCGCTTGAAGTGCTGGGCATTTCAGGCCATGTCATAGCCTGTGTTGGTAACAGCCTTCTTCAGGGCGGCCAGGGACATGCTGTGGTGTGCCTCCTTGTCAGCCACAGCTCCCAGGATCACCTGGGATATGCTGGGCCTCCTCTGGGCTTTGGAAAAGATGCGGTGCCCAGTCTCACTCTTGTTAGGGATTCTGGCATGCTGGCCAGCTGGCCCCCTCTAAGGGCAGTGGTGGAGGCTAAGGACTCAGCTGGGGGCAGTATTGAGGTATCTTTCTGCATCTCTCCCTGAGGTAGGTGATGGGAGCTGCATGTGGGGACCTCCACAGTGGTGGCTGGAAGTCTCCACTAGGTTACTCCTTGGCGGGTGGATGGATGAGGTGCGTCCAGTTCCTGTTCCCTTGTAGGGTTCCCTGTAGGGTTCTGCCTACACCTTATCCCAGGTGGCCAGATAGAGGAACAGGGGTGTTAGCCCACAACTGGCCTCAGCCGATTTGTGCCAAGGGGACAGGGGGCAGTAAAGTTATCTCTATGGTGACCTCAGAGGGATAGTGTGCAGCCGCCAGAGTCCTGTGGAGGTCACAGTGACCCCATTGTTCCCTCCTAGGAGGGTGGGAGGTGCCAGATCAAGTGGGACATGGGATAAAGGGATGGGGTGGCCGGCCCAGGTACAGGGGTCCACACAGAGTGCGCACATGTGTGAATGCACGTATGTGTGGGATCTGATCTTAGGGTGTGCTGAACTCCCAGATTTAAACCCACCATTTTGCCTCTACCATCTTGACCCACTGAATGTCTGAGTTTCTGGGTTAGGGAATACAAACATTTTAAAAATCAGAATTATATCAGCATTTATGAATTCTTAGGCTGCTGGGTGGCACAAACGGTTTTCAATCAACTGCTGTCTAAAGGTTGGTTGTTGAAACCCACACAGAGGCACCTCAGAAGAAAGGACTGGCAATTACTCCCATATACATTACAGCCAAGAAAACGCTATGGAGCAGTTCTATTCTGTAACATATGGGGTCATCTTTAGTTGAAATTGACTTGACAGCAACAGTTTATGAATTTTTATGGTGAATATATTTTCCAGAGTAAATACATAATTAATTCCTCCATTGACTTTCTATATAAAACAGTTAAAAGGCTTCACTTTATTTATTTATTTTTTTTCTGTTTTCATTTTTATTTTACAGAAAATTTTACCCCCATTGGGAGCATGTACATTTTACCTGGAGGATTTAATTCTTCTTTTGGCCTGTGCCAAATTTGATCCATTAGCGCTTTTTCCATTGTTGGTTACCTCGTATGACCAATATTTCCACCACATTCAGTATTACTGAGCCAGTTTGGTAAATCTGAATATTCTCAGGAAAATTTGATTCAGCCGTCAATTTTGAGTTAATAGCCAATTTTACCATATGTGATATTATTGTTATTGTTAAGTGCCGTTGAGTCGATTCCGACCCATAGCGACCCAGTATAGGGTTTCCGAGGAGCAGCTGGTGAGCTTGAACCACTGACTTTGCAGTTCCAACGACTGTGCAGTCTGATGCATTAGCCCACAGCGCCACATATTAGCCCTTGTCAATTTGGGTTTTGTGATGTTTAATTTCTACAAAATCCCATTTTTTCCTTGTTCAGTGTCTGCCATTTTTCATATGCTCCACAAGTTAGAATTCTGCTGCCTGGTTTTCATTGATATCAAATTTTACTCCTCACAAAGTCCTCTGGGCCCCATGACCCGTGAATATGTCTAGGTGTCAGTGGCAGGGTGTGAGGACTCATTTGTTGGTGGTAGAGTGGGGCTTGCACTTTCCCTTTGGTTTGGCAGCCACACCCACAATGGTGTGTGTGTGTCTGTGTGTGTGTGTGTGTCTCCGACAGAATGCCTGTCCATTTGTCTGCCCAAGTGCTGATGTGGAAGGATTGTGGGGGGAGGCACTGTGGTTCTGGCTGCCACTTCTGCTCTAGAAAAACATCCCAGAACTTTTTTCCATCTTTATGAGTTGCCAAAGTAATGAGACCCAGATGTAGGCTGGAGGGCCAGGCAGGGGACCCTAAATGAAAGTCCTTTCCCCACCAGGGGGCATTATCTACCTGGCTGCCTTGCTCTTGGCATCCACACACTTCTTGCTCCCCACCCCCATCAGCCTCTCCTTGCCTGGGAAAGGAAAATGGTGTTTTGGATAACTTGGCTTGTCGAATTCCAGACTCTGGAGCTCATCTCATCTCGACCCTCCCCCAGACAGTAACTCCACCTCTTCCTGTGGGGGGCAGGACTCTTTCTACTCTCTGGAGAGGAGTGTGGCTCATTTGTTGTGAGGCTACAAAGTCTTTATTACAGTCTAAACTTTCAGCTTCTAGCTGGAGTCTGTATCCACTAACTACTTTTTCTTTCCCCTGTCTAGTAATCCAAGGGCAAGTGGGGTTACTTAAACTCTGATGGCTCTTCTCCCACTCCAAGAAAACCAATTCTTACTGATTCTAATGCAAAGTCCCTACTCCACAGGCTGGTCCCATAGCTGAGGATGGGTTTGGGTAAATTGGGTTTGAAAACATCCTCCGCTGCAGGCCCAGTTCATTGGGTGAGTGTGCCGTCATAAAAGAACGCTGGTGAGGAAGTATAATAATAGCAACAGAAGGCGCCCTATAATAATAGCTACCATTGTTACTTGCTGACCAGGGGAGATTATAAGTGCTTTTCCTATGTTAACTATTTAAATACAACTGTGTTACAGTTGAAGAAACTGAAATATAGTGAGATTAAGTGATTTGCCTGAGGGTGCATAGCCAGTAAGCAGTGGAATCCAGATTCAAGCCTACAGCAAGTCTTTACACTTATACTCACGGAAGCAGCAGTCAAGAAATCAGGCGCAGTATTGCATTACGCAAATCTGCACAAGACCTTTTTAAAGTGTTGAAGAGCAAAGATGTCAGCTTGAGGATTAAGGTGCACTTGACCCAAACCATGGTATTTTCAATAACCTCATATGCATGTGAAAGCTGGACAGTGACTAAAGAAGATCGTAGAAGAATTGATGCCTTTGAGTTATGGTGTTGGAGGAGAATATTGAAAGTGCCATGGGCTGCCAAAAGAACCAATAGATCCGTTTTGGAAGACAGAGTGCTCCTTAGAGGCCAAGATGGCCAAACTTTGTCTCTCATACTTTGGACAGATTGTCAGGAGGGAACAGTCGCTGGAGAAAGATATCATGTTTGGTAAGATGGAGGTCGGAGAAAAAGAAGAAGACCCCCAACGAGATGGATTGGCCAGGTGGCAGCATCGATGGACTCAAGCATGGCAACAGTAGTGAGGTTGGCCCAGGATCGGGCAGTGTTTCATTCTGCTGTGCATAAGGTCACAATGGGTCGGTACCGACTCGATGGCACCTAACAACAACAACAACAGCAACTGTGCTCTCCTGCCTTTCAGAAGGAACTAGAACGGGTTCAACAGTAACAGAATGCGAGCCTGTACGAACATCAAAGGAGAATGCTGTTGGTAGTGATGATGTGCCGTGGAATCAGTACCAACGCCTAGCGACTCTGCATAGGGTTTCGGAGGCTGTAAATCTTTACAGGAGCAGAAAGCCTCGTCTGTCTTCTGAGGAAATGGCAGGTAGCTTTGAACTGCTGACCTTGAGGTTAGCAGTCCTACTCATAACCATTATTCTGTCAGAGTTCATTCAAATGAGAATAGGGTTATCCAATCTGAGAAGAAACTGGAGCTAGATTTCAAGAAGGACTTTCTGATAGATGAGGCAGTCACTCTATTCAGTTGCCGCTGGGATTCCCAGCCTTCAAGGAGCCCTGATCTGAAACAAAGACTGGGCTGGAGCCTGGTGGGAGGTTAACGCTGGGGTGTGACTGGGAGGGGGTTTGAAGGCATTGAAGGACAGGCCTGAAGAGCTAAAAGATGAGATGATCAATATCTGACAGGAGATGTGAGAGGAGAGGTTGTTCCTAGGAGGGGAACATCTTGGGCAAAGGCTAAGAAGTGTGAAAAAGTGAAGGCTGTAGGGTTGCTAGACCAACACAGGGATAGGAGGGAGGGTGCTCTGTGGTTGGAGAAAGTATTGGAGGTAGCGGAGCTGAATGCCTGAGGAGACCCAGAAGGCTACCAGAACATCAAATGCAAATAGCAAGCAACCCTCTGGGAGCACATGTCCGCGGTGGATATCAGTTCATGTCTTAGAATCTCGTGAGCACTTGCCAACATACTGTTGTACACCAGGATCTTGCATTTTCTCATTTAACCCTCACAAAAATCCTATAAGGAAGGTATTATCATCCTATTTTACAGCTGATGAAACTGAAGCACAGAGTCATTAAGGAAAGGCACATAGCTCTGAATCCAGCTCTCTCCCCAAAGCCTGTGCCTCAATCACTGGGCACTGAACTGGCATTCCGAGAGCTTCCTGTTTGTCCAATCCCCATGCATGTGTGTCCTCCCCCAGGATGAGTGGGGAAGAGTGCAGGGTGGTTCAGAGGCAGTGCCAGGCTGGGCTCCCAGGCCACTGTGCAAAGCTGTGGGTGCTGACATCACCAATGGCCCTGCCTGCCCCCAGCATCCAGATGGTTCACCATGGCACCATCCGAGGGAATACGCAGGAGCTGCGGCAGATGGCAGCCAGCCGTGAGGTGCCCCGACCACTCTCCACCCTGCCAATGTTCAACGTGCGCACAGGCGAGAGGATGCCTCCCCGTGTGGACAGTGCCCAGGTGCCCCTCATCCTGGACCAGCACTGAAGACCAAGTCAGGTGGGTCCGGCTGGGCAGTCCCAGCTTCCCCTTTCTCAGAACAAAGTGGTCAGGGCAGGTGGTGAGGTATGGTGGAGGTGGGGGGCACAATCTAGGCCTGTCCCTTTTGAGCTAGACAGTGTCAGGTGGGATCAGAGGTCAAGTGAGGAAGGCTGGATAGACTGGCCCTCACAGTCCCTCACTCTGTCTTTCCCCAGCCTGACCTCAACTTGTGTTCTGTTCCCACAGAGAGCAGCCACGGTTCCATCCCATCTGCTGATTCCAGCTCCTGGCCTGACTGGACCCAGGCTTGCATCAAATAGAGAAATGGAGACAGTGGGGGAGCAAGTATCTGGAGTCAGAACCACAGAATAAAGAAATATCTGCTGCTCTGCATGTCTGTCTCTGCCAGTGTCTCCCCCTCAACAGCCTCTTCCTCAGCCCTCACTGTCTAGAGGCAACCAGAGCAGGCCGCCCTGCCTGCCCTCAGGTCTCTGCAGTTTGCTGTTTGCTCTACAGGAAAGCACAGAAGGAGCTGCTGGAAGTTTCATGTGACTGATAGCGAAGGATTATTGACTCATTATTCTGACTCAATGGCACTTACAACCATTCCCATTTTACAGACAAGGAGACTGAGGCCTAGGGAGAGTAAATGACTTACCCAAGCTAACAGGGCAATCAGTGGCAGAGCCTGGATTAGAACCTGGCCCGTGTGCCTCCACATTGCTTTCTGGATGGTTGAAGGGTTCTGGAAGCAGGAGTTTAGGCTCCTCCCTAGAGATTTAGTCAACAGTTGATGAACCCTTAAGATTCCACAAAGAGTCCCTTTGTATATCCTGTTTTGAGGGAAACTAATCTGGAGATAGATTTGTTTTGTAAGAAGTGCAGCCAGAGTGCTCCTTGGAGGCCAAGATGGTCAAACTTCGTCTCTCATACTTTAGACATATTGTCAGGAGGGAACAGTCACTGGAGAAGGATATCATGTTTGGTAAGATGGAGGGTCAGAGAAAAAGAGGAAGACCCCCAACAAGATGGATTGGCCAGGTGGCAGCATTGAAGGACTCAAGTGTGGCAACAGTAGTGAGGTTGGCCCAGGATCAGACATTGTTTCGTTCTGCTGTGTAGAAGGTCACTATGAGTCGGTGCCAACTCGATGGCACCTGACAACAACAATAATCTGGAGATAGAGAGGCAGCTGAGATGCAGGACTTCGAATATCCCAGGACCAACAGCCCCTTCCCAGTGGGGTCCTTCTTGTTGGGTTTGTTCAGAGTTCTTCAGAGTTCTGGGTTAGTGTGCTAGACTTACTAACATTATCATCTGGTCCTCTCTGGCCATGCTGCACATCCCATCCCCTGCTAACCAATCAATCTAGCACAAATTCCATAAACGTTTATTGAAGTGGATGGAGGCATGGTGTGTATAATTTAACAAGGTGTTGTTGGATGAGTGCTCAGCCTTCCCCAACTAAACAGTTCCTTTGACAGAAGGTGGCCTCGGACTTCCCTGCTCTTTACTCCTTTCTCCTGGTTCCCTCATCAGAATGAAAGCAGGAGGTGCACATAGGATGGGAGGCTCCAAGCTGCTTGCTGAGTGGCTCCTCTTGGACCCCAGTCCCCTTAAGGAGGGGACAGCCTTCTCCCTCTGTGCTCCTGCTCCCTGCAGTCAGGCCACTCCCAGACCCCCTACGTGCTCTTCCTATGCTGGCCAGGAATGGAAAAGTTCGAGGCCAATTCCAGGCCTTGGAATCTTGGCAGTACCTTCCTCTCTGCTCAGCTCCAAGGAGCACACCGGAGCCTGGCTACAGGCCGGGGAGGAAGTAACCCAGACAAGTAGCGGGGACGATGGTGTGACTGCAGAGACAGAGAGTTGTGTCTGGGCACACATGAACACACCCAGTTGCCTGGCAGTGGGCCACAGGTGGGCACAGACACTTAGCACCTCTCTACTCACCGGGCACTTAGCTCCTCACTCTGGTGAGTGAGATGCCACCCAGCAGTCATCCCGCTCCCATTAGTAGCAACCGGTCTGTCCCCCTCCCTTGTCTGTTTCCACAACAGTCCCAGGACAACACCCACCTCCACCCTGAGACTCACAGTGTAGTCTTCCCTCCAACTCACAGCCTGGCACTGCTCCCAGGGTCTAGTGCATGGCCTCCGTCTTCATACTAAATAAGTCCTCATACGTGGTGTGCCTCTCTGGACAGTTCTAGGATGATCTCAGCCAGAGTTGGCTGTTGTAAGATATCAGCCCTCAGATAAGCACTTCTCCCTAATTCACGAAGCTTCCTACAAGGAGGAGCATGGATTTGCCCATTTCACAGGGAATGCCTTCAAGACCCACGTAGCTGGTTATGTTGGGTCTGGTGTCAGCAGTGTCCAGTCACTCCCGCAGCCTAGATGGGACTACTGCTCCGATGAAAAGCAGAACTTCCTGGAGGGGGTTGGGAGAATTGGTGAGCCTCTGGTAAGTAGCTCCCAGGAATGGAGACAAGATTACATCTAAGCATTCATGAAAACACACCAAAGCCAGAAGTCCATGGGGTCTCCCTGCCTCCTTGAAATCCAGAACAACTGGTTCTACTTCCATCCTGTACCCTGTGAAAAATTCCGTCTCTCCCTGTGAGTCTGGCGTGGAGGCTAAAAACGTGCTTCATGTTTGTTGATCTGCTACCCACCGGAGATGTGTGGTAAGGGCAACTGTGAGGTGATAAGGGTTTTGAATGTTGCTGGTTCCTGATGAGTCAATTTTGACTCTCAGTGACCCTGTGTGTATCAGAGTAGAATTGGGGTTTTCAATGGCTGACGTTCTGGAAGTAGATCCCCAGAACTTTCTTTCAAGGCTCCTCTGGATGGACTCAAGCCTCCAACTTTTTGGTTAGCAGCCAAACGTATTAGCCTTGCACCGCTCAGGGACTCCAAATAAAAGACAATATTAAACTTAATCTTGCCCATTTCTGGTGTGGCACTGTGGGCTAAAGCACTAGACCACAAGGTTGGTTTGAACTGCAAGGTCGGTGGTTCAAACTTACCAGCTGCCCCTTGGAAACCCCATACAGGGGTGCTATGAGTTGGATCTCGACGGCACTTACCAACAACTAGTAGATGAAGATATACATGTGTGACCCACATTTTATTTGCGTTGGGCCGTGGTAGTTTCATTGTTTTTACTTTATTTTCATCCCAGATCAACTCAAATTCATATCACAGCCCCTTTCCTTGCGTCTTATAGAGTACCTGCTCACACCAGGCCTCCAAGGGCATCTGTGTTCTTGCCTCAGGCTTGGGGACCAGAGGCATTGGTCTCACAGCAGAGAATTCACCTGGAAGTTGAGTATGTGGCCTCCTTGTCTTGAAATGTGTTGAGGTCCCCACTGTGGTTCTCCTCCTTCTCTTCTCTGCCCCTTCCCTCCCAACAATGCCCCACCCACTCACCTACTTCTTCAGTACTCTGTGCACCAAACTCATCTTCCTCCAAACCTTGTTTAGCTTATCATCTTCAAAATGTTGGAGTCTCCATGTGTATAAAGGTCCTGATGTGGCGCCAAAGGAAAAGCACAGGATTGCTAACTGCAAAGTTGGCAGTTCAAAACCACCAGCTGCTCATTGAAAGCCCTGTTCAGGGTTGCTGTGAATCAGAACCGACTTGAAAGCACGTAACAATAACAGGCAAGGCCCATCTTCCAAGTGTGGAGATTCCTTCTCCTAGGGTCCTACCTCCCTGCCTGTTGAACTTTGAAAGCCTCCCTCCCCAGCACAGTGAGAAAGGCGCGGTAAACACAGACTCTCACCTGCACCATGACGCCACACCCCCTAGGACTTTAGAATGCTCATCTGTCCTACACCAAGGTGCCTATTTCTACGTTCGTCCATATGTGCTTGTCAAGACCTCCTGTGCCCTCTTTCATGCATCTGCATATACAGACCCCCAAATACCTGGACCCACATGCTGTCTTTTCCACCATCCTAGGTGTGGGTAAGCGGCTTCCTATATAAATCCCCACTCACCCTGACACATACACGGCACGGGTGTAGGGCCCCTTGAGCATGTATCCACAGGGGAGTGAGCATGCCGAAAATCAGATAGATTCACCCACAGGCGCCTACCCAGAATCTCACACTAGGGGGCATTTGATTAGACCCACCCCACTCACTCACACAGCCTGACACACACACCTCACTCACACACATTCACACAGTAGTATCACACACACAGCCTGACACACATGTAGCTCACATACATTCACACAGCCTCATTCACTCACACACCTCACACAGTCTGACACACATGCAGCTCACATACATTCACACAGCCTCATTCACTC